CATTTATCCATCAAACATGTATTGAGTAGACAGCATGTGCCTTGTGCCAGGCAGAGCTGTAAAACATGTAGTTTCTTTGCTCAGGGAGCTCCCAGGCTGACGAGGGGGCAGCAGTAAGATGGGCACCCACAAAGAAAGGTTTTTCTGTGAAGGTAATGTAAGATCTGAATTATAAGAGATAGTCGGGAATATTCCAGATGGAGAAATTGGGATAGAGTATTCCAGATGAAAGAGACAACAAGCGAGAAGGTGTTTTAAAGTAGGAGAGTAAATGGGAGACCTGTAATTTTTCAGTTGGATGAATGGAGATCTATATCCGGCTAATACTGTTATTCAGCTCTATTATTCAGAAACTTTTTTTTTTTTTAAGTTTTTTTTTTAAGTTTTTTTTTTTTTTTTAATTTGACAGAAAGAGACACAGTGAGAGAGGGAACACAAGCAGGGGTAATGGGAGAGGGAGAAGCAGGCCTCCTGCAGAGCAGAGAGCCTGATGTGAGGTTCGATCCCAGGACCCTGGGAGTATGACCTGAGCTGAATGCAGAGGCTTAACGACTGAGTCACCCAGGCAGCCCTAGAAACTTTTTTTTAAGCTCAAGAAGGAATGTGATACCTTTTAAAGCACAAACATAAGTTCTGTTTAAGATGTTAATTTAATAAGTAAGTAAATAAATGTTAATTTATTTAACTCACAAGAAATGATCAGCAAAACAGACCCTTAAAAGGGAATCCTTAGGAGTGCCTGGGTGGCTCAGTGGGTTAAGCCTCTGCCTTCGGCTCAGGTCATGATCTCAGGGTCCTGGGATTGAGCCCCACATCAGGTTCTCTGCTCAGCAGGGAGCCTGCTCCCCCCTCTCCCTCTGCCTACCTCTCTGCCTACTTGTGATCCTTCTCTCTCTGTCAAATAAATAAATAAAATCTTAAAGAAAAAAAAGGAATCCTTAAAAAAAAAATAAAAGGAATCCTTGCAACTGAAAGTATTCAAATAGAAAATTATCCAGAATTGATATTTTGGGGACGTCTTAAGATCCCTAATAAGAGGACATCTGGGCGGTTCAGTCTGTTAAGTGCCTGCCTTCCACCCAGGTCATGATCCCAGGGTCCTGGGATCGAGTCCTTCCTTGGCCTCCCTGCTCATGCGTGCTTTCTCTCTCTCTCATGCTCTCTCTCTCAAATATATAAATAAAATCTTTAAAAAAAAGATCCCTAATAAGATAAGAATTCTATAACTTTTGTCCTCTCAATATTTTGTTATTTTATAAGTTAATTCTGATCTCTTTCCCTTAGGTATAACCCTCTCTTTCACCTCTCCTTCAAAACTAATTTCTCTTGAGAAATTAGTTTACATATAACTATCTCTAGTTCTTCACTGCTTATTAGCATAACATAATACAGGAAAGTGTGTAAATCATACGTGCGTATTTCAAAGAATTTTTACAAAGTGAACACATCTGTGTAAATACCCAGAAGGTTAAGAAAATAGATATTGCCAGGACTCCAGAATCCCCTTTTGTGCCCCTTCCCAGCCCCTCCCTCCATCCCCTAACCGTCACTACTCCCACCCTACGCATTAAAAGTAACAAATGTCTTCCTGACATCTATCACCACAAGTTAGCTTTGCCTAACTTTTTACTAACTTTAAAAAGTTAGCTTTTTAAACTGTGTTGTAAAAATGAAACCATGCATATATTCTTTTAGGTCTGGCTTCTTTTGTTCAGTGTTGTGTTTTTGAGATTCATCCATGTTGTGAGTAGCAATAGAACATTCCTTCTCATGTCTGTGTAAAAGTTCATTGTTTGACTCTACCACACTTTATGTATTCTACTATTGATGGCTGTTTGGCTTGTATATAGTTTGGGCTCTTAAGAATACTGCTGCTAAGACATTCTGGTATATGTCTTTTAATGCACATCTTTCTTTTCTGTACCATGGACTTCATCCTCTCAGGTCGTTTAGATGATCAGTATCAGCACAATTTCTTGAGTGCTGGTTATGTGCTTTTTATATACATCAAATAATTTAATCCATAAAAACTCTGTGAGGGAAGTAGATTTAAAAAAAGGATTTATTTATTTATTTTAGAGAGAGAGAGAGAGAGAGAGTGAGTGGAGGGAGGAACAGAGATAGTTCTCAAGCTGACTCCACACTGAGCAGGGAGCTCAGCGTGGGGCTCGATTCCAGGACCCCAAGGTCATGACCTGAGCTGAAACCAAGAGTTGGATGGGTAACTGAGCCACCCAGGCTCCCTGAGGAGGGTAATTTTATCCCAATTTTATATATGAGAAAAATGAGACTTAGATGATCTTATATAAGGTTACACAGCTAGTAAATGGTAGAGAAGTTGAGACAGGATTAGAACTCAAGACTGTATACCTTCCAAGCCTGTACCCATAACCATTATTCTCTTCTGTACCACAATTATCATTCTCAACTCAACCCCTCATTTCGTCTTCCTTTCTACAGTCCAGCTTCCTGTAATTCATGTCACTCCTTTGTTTTAAATCCTTCAGTGGCTTCCCCTTGTCTGGAACTTGATAAAGTCCAAGTTTCTTACTGTGAAATACTGTGTCCCCCATGATCTGACCCTTACCATTCTCTTCGTTTTGTATCTCCCCTCCTCACCTCTGTGTTCCAGCTATGCTCACCTACATGTAGCAACTGAGTATTATGTTCTCTTATACCCTGTGCCTTTTTATTTACTCCCTCTTCTGTTTTGCCTGGCAAACTTGTTTGTCCATGAAGATGGGGTTTAGGTCTCCCAAATATTCTCTTGAGAAATATTTCCTAACTGTCTCTTATCCCCAGTCCATTTTTGGTGCACATCCTCTGTGCTCCTAGAACACCCTCCTCATAGTGCTCTCACACCTCACTATCATCCTCATTTTCACACCTAGAACGAACGAATCAATTGTTCACTATCCACCTCTTCCATTAGACTGACATCTCCTTGAGGACAAGTACTATTTTTGAATCCTCTTTTGAAACTACATTGCCTAGCACATGGGGTCTCTCCTCAAATGTCTGTTGGCTAAATAAAATGCTGTGAAGTGAATCATTTAAATTGAGCATAAAAGTACCTATTCTTGGGACTACTGGGTGGCTCAGTCGGTTAAGCCGCTGCCTTCGGCTCAGGTCATGATCCCAGGGTCCTGGGATCGAGTCCCGCATCAGGCTCTTTGTCCAGCAGGGAGCCTGATTTCTCTCTCTGCCTCTGCCTGCGACTCTGCCTGCTTGTGCTCTCTCTCTGACAATAAATAAATAAAAAATCTTAAAAAAAAGTACCTATTCTTGTACACATTGTTTTTTATTTGGATTTGGAGGTCTAGATACTGAGGCCATAGTAATTTGTTTGGTAAGGTCACTTATACTGTGGAGTCACATGTAACTGATACAAATTTGGGTTTGCCCTCTTTATGTCAAATTGGTGGGAATTCTAGCTCCAGAGTCATAGAAAGGCTGAAAAATCCCTGTAAGAAACTTGGCAGCTTCAGGTTACCTTGGGGGATTTCTTTAAAAAATAGTGGAAAATATAGAGTTGCCTCATTATGGTGAGAGATGTTTCATTCCAAAGTGGTAAGAAGTAGTCTTTGTTAAGACTTCTGGGTTGCGTGGTATAAATGATGATTCTCAGAGTTTCCACGAAACTTATTAATTGGTACTTTTGAAGTCTTCCTTTGCCTTTGGACCTACAACAACTTAAAGTTCTTTAATCATAATGAGAAATGAGGGTTACTGCCTTTCTGACTGGGCTTAAACAAATGTGTGCTTAGTTTTTATTCTAAGGAACAATTTTATATTAAGTGGTATATTTTTAACACATCTTAATCTTCTGTGTTAATTGTGGGGAAAGGGAACAGAAAAAGGAATTAATCCTCCCTGTCATGCTTATTGTCTCTTATGATGACTACCTTAAAAAAACAGTTAAAGTAGTATATAATCAAATATAAGATTGTGGAATTCAAGTTCATTTCTTGGGTAGGGCAGATAGAATTGTAACTTTGTGCTTTTTGTCTTTGTTGATAGAGGATGAGGAGGGGTACTCTACTCTCCTTTTCTAAATATCATTAAAATTCAGTTTTAAACCTTTAGGAAGATGGAATGGAGAGGGATTGGGAGGAAGCAGGAGAGGGGTTGCTGGATGCTGATGATGTTAAACTCATGTGTTCACTTTGATTAGTTATTGATCTATACAATTATGTTTAAGGTATGTTTCTTTATGTCTCTTATATCAATAAAAATATTTTAAACAATTTAATTTAGGAATTACTGTCTTTAAACATTTCCCAAGGAGCCTGCAAAAGATGTTAATGGTGAGGGTCTTTCCAAGTGCCATGACTTTTCATGGTCCACCATGAATTGAAGAGCCTTGTGCTAATGGCATGTAGACTCTAAGTGGGGTTGGTAAACAGTAAAAGGAGAGATTAGCGTGGGCAAGAGTAGTCAGGGAAAACAACATAATCACTCATCCAGTAAATATTAACTGAGTATGAAACATGTACCAGATGCTGTGTTGACATAGAAAACTTAAATGAGATTGGAGGGCAGAGTTGGAGGGAAGAATAAGATCTGGGTGATGTTTATTAATCCTGGTTATATCTCTACTACTCTTTATAGAATGATAAAAATAGCAAATGCTTATTTAGCATTTCTCGTCTACTAAAAGATTCGCATATATTAACTCATTTCATCTTCACAATAAGCCTATGAGATAGGCACTACTACTAGTGTCTCATTTTAATTTCCTCTAGTAGATGCGAAAACAGATACAGAGATGTGTAAAATGACTCAGCTAGGAAGTAGTGGAGGTAGGATTCAATCCTAACCGTCTGGCCCCCTGTTTCTCTGCTCACATTTACTATGCTGTGTGAAATTAGTGCAGAGAATATCAGAAATGTTGATTTGACCTAGAGAATCTATTCGAAAATGGCCAGTAATCCTGTTGTGGTACTCTGTGGTTTGTGTGTTTTGGAGCTATGTGTGAATGCCTTTTCTTCTTTTTACAGACATGGCTGGATTCTGCCAAAGAAATAAAAAAGCAGGTTCGTGGTAAGTGAATATAGCCCTTTTTATAGTTCTTTCTTTCTTTTAGTAGGTCAGATGATTTTCACCTTTTTCTGGCTATGAGTCACTTTAGAATCCTGGCTATGGCAGGTGGCTCTGAAATTGAGATAAAACCTTCCCTTGGAAGGAGGAGATTCCATGACAGAAGATACAGCAAAGGTGGACACGATTGAGATGTAGGGCAGATCTTGGTATTTTTTTCTTTACAACTAGGCAAAATTGGGGAAGATTGGAATGGTTGAGAAAAACATGTTTGAGAAGAACAAAAATGAGAAGAGAAAAAGGATATGGGAGTCAGTTCTCAAAGGAGTTTGCTGCCTGGTCTTGGTCCTTTTAAATTGTTGTGGACAGTTGCATTCTAAGCTTCTTCATGTTTTCTTCTCTGTAGTTCTTTTTGTCCATTTTCAACAATCTTCTTCCAACTAGTTCTTCTGTTAGTAGAAAAATGAGAATTCCTTGCCAATGGCCCTCTGACGTTGTGACTTTTCTCCTAACGCCAAGCCCTCTGGTATATATTACTGTTGTACCCCTGCTCAGACTGCTCTCCTGAGACAAGTATTTCTAGGTCGAATAAAGTGCAGATTAGTATTTTGTAGCTCTAGGCCCAAAGGGCTAGCTAAGGGGTAGAGATTCTTTTTCTCTTGTTTAAAACTAAATGTCTTTTTGGTTTGGTTTATTTTTAAGGAAATTTTCAGGAACTGCACTAAAGGTTATTTATCAGGGTTAGTAAGTTTTAGCTCTATCACCTGAAAACAGATTTTATTTTTCATTTGTTTCTTAACAAGCTTGCTGTAGTGAAATGTTTTCTTTTAGACCCTATTTATAATTTATATTCCTTGAGATAGAAAGGCAAAATACTCCTTTGGACTGGCAGCTTTCCATACTATAATATGTTGTTTTAAAATGCAAGTCAGAGCAAACAAACAAACAAACAAATAAATAATTAAAAAAAATTAAAAAAATAAAAAACAAGGTAAAATGTAAGTAAGAGCAATACATTTTTGGAATATTTGAAGCATGACAAGAAAAACATAACTCCAGATCCCTGTCAATGAAAATTCTTTTAATATTCAATATTACTTAGGAACAAATGATTATACAAGAAGACTGGTTAGGGAGAAAAGTTAAAGCAGAATTTATGATGAGTGGAGAAGAATATCTAGTAGATTATATCTCTGGCTATGGGAAAAAATCTTGCTAAGAAAAAGAACCAGTGTTTGTCATTTTAAAAAAATTTACAGGGGCGCCTGGGTGGCTCAGTGGGTTAAGGCTCTGCCTTCGGCTCAGGTCATGATCCCAGGGTCCTGGGATCGAGCCCTGCATCAGGCTCTCTGCTCGGCGGGGAGCCTGTTTCCTCCTCTCTCTCTCTGCCTGCCTCTCAGCCTACTTGTGATCTCTGTCTGTCAAATAAATAAATAAAATCTTTAAAAAAAAATTTACAAAATAATAAAAACCCTTTCTGTAACATGGGAAAGGAAAACCTCGTCTGTAGCACAAACTGAATTAAGGAATCAAAATGTAAACATTTCATTAAGCCAAAGAGAAGAATTTTGTCTTTTTAAAAAACTATTTTTCTTCACACACATCATATAAACCCATTGTGAAAAATTTAAACATTATGGAAATATATCATGGAGAAAGTAAAAGGCCCGTAAATTCTATCCTCTAGATACAATCACTGTTAAGTTGGTATAAGCTACAAGATTTTTTCTAGGCATATATAAGTTTTGCCTTTCAAAAATAGAATCATGCTGCATAGGATTCTTGCCCCCCCCCTTAGGAGATATGTTCCAGGTCCCCCAGTGGATGCCTGAAATTGTAGATAGTACCAAACCCTATATATACTGTGTTTTTTCTTATACGTGTGTATCTTGTTAAAGCTTAATTTATAAATTAAGCACAGTAAGAGATTAACAACAATAACTTATAATAAAATAGAACAGTTATAACAATATACTGTAATAAAATGTGGTCTCTCTCTCTCAGAATATCTTATTGGCCTGTACTCACCCTTCTTGTGATAATGTGATGTGATAAAATGACTGTGTGATGAGATGAAGGGAGGTGAATGATGCAGGCATTGTGGCTTAGTCTTAGGTGAAGAGGATCATCTGCCTCCAGATTGTGGTTGACCATGGGAAAGTGAAACCATGGATAAGGGGGGGACTATTATACATTGTTATATATTATATATTGCATTATATTACCTATGCGTTGTGTATGCTATATATAGTTAAAAATTTGTTTAAGTAGGTGATATAAATATGTGGAATAAAATTAAAAGATACTGATGAACCTAATGTAAGGTAAATCACCCTTCTACCCCATCCTTTAATTCCTTGGGTTCTTTCCAGAGATGTTCTGAGTGTACATAGACAGACACATATTATAATATAAATATGTATTTAATACATATGTTTTACATGCATATTGTATTTTACTATGTATATTTTACATAAATAGATTAAATAGGTATAATAGGTATTTAATATAAATATGCAACAAATATTTTTTATTTAACATAATTTGGAGTATTCTTCATATCAACACATGTAAATTTATTTTGTTTAAAAATTTTCTTGATTACATAGTTGTAGCACAGTATATATATAAACAGTCCTTTTGATGGACATTTTGGGTTATTCTTAATAGTTTGCTATTACAAACAAGGTTACAGTGAACATTTATATAAGTTCAGGTTCACTCATATAACATATAAGTGCATACACATATTTGTTCCTATAGGTAAATTCTTAGAAGTAGAACAAAAAAATGAACATCTAAAATTGAAATTTATATTCACTAGAAGGATTTTTTCCATATTAAAAACACACAGAAAAGTGTGGAGGCTAATTTAACAAATAACCCATGTACACATCACCCAGAATCAACATGTGTTAACACTTTCAACTTAAAATAGGACAGTACTGGTAAGTTTTGTCTTTTTTGTTTTCCTCCTAGTCCTGTCTTCTTTTCTCCCTAGCCAAAGAAGTCTATTTTCATGAATTTGGGGTGATTTAGTCCATGTTTTTATTTATTTATTTCTTATATACCCATATCTATATTCATAGATAGTATTGCTTTTGCTGTTTTTCTGAAATTTCCCTCAGACCCATTTATTCATTTGAATCTCCTTGGGAGGTTTATCAATCTCTCTCTCTCTCTCCTCCCAGCTTAATTCCCTTGGCTGTGAATAAGAGAGATCTCCCCTACTCAGTGTGGCTATCCACTTCTACCTCTTTCTGGAATAGTGCAGAACAAAAGCAAGAAGTCCTTTACCTTCTCTACCCCTCTCCACCCCTAAAATATCCTAAAAGTAGGAATTTTCTTATATAGCTGTAACACAGTTATTAAAAGCAGGAAATTAACATCGAAGCAACACTGTAACCTACAGACCTTATCAGTTGTCCAAATAATTTTCTGTATAACGAAAGAAAATCTATGATGATATTTTGCATTTAGTTGGCACATCTCTTTAGCTTTTTTTGATCTGGAACACTTCCTGAGTCTTTAAAGTTATTTATTTATTTAATTTAAAAATTCTATTTATTTATTTGACAGAGAGAGACACAGCAAGAGAGAGAACACAAGCAGGGGGAGTGGGAGAGGGAGAAGCAGGCTTCCTACTGAGTGGGAAGCCCAGCATGGGGTTTGATCCCGGGACTCTGGGATCATGACCTGAGCTGAAGGCAGACACTTAACGACTGAACCACCCAGGCACCCCTAGCGTATTTTATAACATTGATAGTTTTGAAGAGTCCAGATAGTTATTTTTTAAGTGGTCACTTTGAGTGTGTCTGATTTTTTTCATGGCCCATGAATATTCAGGTTATGCACTTTGGTGGGAATGTCACTGACGTGTTGCTGAGTTAAAAGGAAGAAATTTTAATGTTAAGATTTTTTTAAAGAACTTTTCCAGCCACCTTTTTTTTCCCCACTAAATATTCTCCATAAGGTATTAGTAATTATATGTATTCTATTCTAGAAACAGTCACTGACTAAAGCTTAACTTTAATAATTTTAAAAACTCCCAAGTGATTAACTTTTTTAGTCTCTCTATTGCATTCAACCCTGAGCTAGCTTGCAGTGAACCTGAATGTCTTCATTAGCAATATGCCAGCCTGTATCTCTTACATGGAAAAGCATAGGAACTCAAAATTTGGGTTCTTCTTCTTACAATTGGTGTTAACAAAAGTAATAGTTAATAATTGAAACATTTCTGTTTAGATATGGTTATTTCTTTTTTTTATTTTTAAAGATTTTATTTATTTTATTGACAGATCATAAGTAGGCAGAGAGGCAGGCAGAGAGAGAGGAAGGGAAGCAGGCTCCCTGCTGAGCAGAGAGCCCCATTCAGGGCTTGATCCCAGGACCCTGGAATCATGACCTGAGCTGAAGGCAGAGGCTTTAACCCACTGAGCCACGCAGGTGCCCCGATATGGTTATTTCTAATACAGTTAAACTTCCTTGTTTGAGGTTAAATGGATAGAAAAATTGAACCAGAATACAGGTTTTTTGTTTGTTTTCATTTGATTAGGTCTGGTAACATAAGGTCATTGGTAAATCTGGATTAATGGATAATTTTAATACATTAGTAACTCCCCCCGCTCCCTGCCCCCGGAGCTGTAGCAGCCTCAGATGACATTCACAACAATGCTGTGAGATCAGTTACTTTATTTCATTCATTCGCTCAACAAATATTTCTTGAGCATCTATGATCTATGGAGCACTGTTTTGGACACTAGGGATACACACCAAATAAAACAGAAAAGTTCTTATGCCTAGTAATTTGCATTTTAGTGGGAGGAGACAGAGGTTATCCTTTTAAAAAGTTATATATTTATATTTAATAAATAGTACATGTACAAAATTCAAATGGTATAAAAGAATATACAGTGAAAATAGGTCTCCATTCTATTTCCCCCATCTTCTCCATTTTCCTCTCTAAAAGTTCCCTTTCCTAGTTTCCCAACTACTATAACTGATTTAGTATATATCCTTATAGGGATTATCTATACGTATATAATCATACCCTAACATATACTTCTTCTTACCCTCCAATATTTATGGTTGCTTTTTTGAAATTTTCATTTTATTTTTTGAAAGATTATTTGAGAGAAAATGAGCACAAGTGAGGGGAGGGGCACAGGAGGAGGGAGAGGGAAAGAATCCCAAGCAGACTCCATGCTGAGCAAGGAGCTCAATAAGGGGCTCCATCTCATGACCCTGAGATCATGACCTGAGCTGAAACCAAGAGTCAGACATTTAACTGACTGAGCCTCCCAGGTGCCCTTTATAGTTCCTTTCTGTATGAGCTGTTCTTGACCTTGATATTTTTTTCACCTAACACTTTGTCTTGGAAATATATCTTCTCTTGCTAAATAAATATATATTTAGATTGTCTCTAGTCATTTGCTATTACGAACAATATCTTATACGTATACAGTTCTGACCATATTTAAGCATATGTATAGACACATTTATGGAAATAGAATTGGGAGATGAAAGAATATATATGTTTTATGCTTTGAAAGATGTTGTCAAATTGTTCTCCTTAGCATTGTGCCAACTTACACCTGTATCAGCGATGGTAATTGTTTATTTTCCCCACCAATTCTGGGTGTTATTAAGCTTTTTATATCAGTTACTTAATACAGAGTTCAAAGAGGAAAAAAAAATCACTTTCAAACTCTCTTAAATGGTTCTAAATAACTTTTTCTTTCTTTAATAAAAATCAGATTTTTCCCCACAAAGCATGAAAATATTTTAAAAACCTCAGGAAAAGAAAACTTTGAATGTTTTAGGTACTTCTAACAATCAGAAACTTAGCCATAAGCATACAATTCTTTTTGTGTTTACTTTTACAGGTGTCCCCTGGAATTTCACATTTAATGTAAAATTTTATCCACCTGACCCGGCACAGTTAACAGAAGATATAACAAGGTAAATAATTTATTAATAGTTAACTATACAAGTAATTCTCATTATCATAAGCTCTGGGAATTTTTCTATTTAGAACTGAAGAAAAATGAAGTGCTGTTAGGATGGAAAGCATCTGGTCACTTGAAGGCAGGTTTGCAAATAAGTGAGCCTAAAAAAGCCTCATGTATCTGTGATGTGCCTGGAGGAAGTCGGCAGGGAAATTAACCTTTCTTATCATGGGTGCTATGCCAAGCTGTGTACAGGGCACCTATAAACCACACGTACTCCAAAAGGCAAGACAAAAATATACGTGATAAAATAGCTCTACTACTTTCTCTTTTTAATACTCCTTCCCTACCATGTTTTCTGTTACAGGTCTGAAGTCTGAATTATTATTATTTCATGTGTGTATATATGTGTGTATTATGATTTCTTCTTATCTCTCAAAGTGTATGATTAGGTACATAATCCTCACGAACTGAATCTTCCTCAGTATTTAAAAAATTTTTTTAAATTTATTTTAATTTTTTATTAACATATAATATTTGCTTAGGGGTACAGGTCTGTGATTCATCAGTCTTACACAATTCACAACACTCACCATAGCACATATTCTCCCCAATGTCCATCACCCAGACACCCCATCCCTCCTACCCCCATCCCCTCCAGCAACCCTCAGTTTGTTTCCTGAGATTAGGAGTCTCTTCTGGTTTAAGCCCACTTAATTTATGAAACAAATCTTGTACTCTTTGAAAACAACTTCCTGATTTTAGGAAAGTGGGTTTTACTGGGTTCTATATAAATATTAATTTTTAAAAAATGGAAAAGCAGTCTATTATAAAGAATGCTGGTGTACATATTTATATCCATAACACCTTGCATGGATCCTTATACACTTAGGTGCTTGGCAAATGTTTGTTAAATAGAATTGTTGGTTGCTGAGAAACTGCTTTCTGATTCTGATTTTGCTGTCCACTGTCTGACTTCAGACACATATACAGTCTCTGTACCTCAGTTTTCAGATCTCTCAAATAAGGGAATAGCCCAAGTAAACTCTAAGTCTGATTGTCAAGTATGGTGAAATTTTTAAAAAATTATTCTTTGTCTGGTTAATATTTAGCACATGCTTGAGGTTGGGATACCATCTCTGCCTGAAAAAAAAAAACTGTTTTGGTTGTTTCTTTTTCTCAGGTAATATTTGTCTTTAGAGTTGCTTCTTATTTGTCTTTCTTCATTGAGGTTATGTATAAAACAGAACAGATCCCTAAAATTCTTTGCTAATTACTACATTTGAGAGGAGTTTAAGATCCTTGTGATTTGATTGACATTCCTTTTTAAAAAAAAAAAAATGCCTGTAGTGACTAATCATAGATAACAAAAGCGATTGTTGATACCTACATTATTCAACATCTTATTATGGTCAAAACAAGGGTATAATTCTAATCAATACAGGAATTTTAAATTTTATCATATTTCCCAGCTTTTCTGTTTGGTAAGAGTCTGTATGGGTCAACTCAGCTAGAAAAAGTTCTAAGGAGGTCAGGATCATAGATGTAAACATGAAATTGACAGAGATGAGTGTCTAACTTAAAGTAGGTACGCTGAGTTCGTTCTACAGAACAGTTTTAACCCCAGTATGAATTCCCAATGATTTAGCACATGGGTGGAATCAGTCTCACAAGATGATAGTGTGTGGAAGTCTATATGCTACTTAGCCCATCTTGAAGGCAAAAGAACTGAAACTGGTCATACCTTAGTAAAAATGTGTCAATAATGTCATCTTTATATATGAAGGACAGTATCTACATGTTTGGCACAGCAGTGTGATAGAAAGAGTCCAGTTTTGGAACCAAATGGCCTTTATGACCATATGACATTGAGCAAGCTTAGTCTTTGAAGCTGCCCTCTATCTGTAATCTGGTAATGATATACCCGCTTCACAAGTTTTTTCGTGAAAAGTATTTGAGATAATTTATGTGTATTTGGTACTTAATGTACTCAATAAAATATTAATTTCTCTACCTCCTTTGAACTTTTCCCAACTTTATTACCTCTTTTCTTTCTTCCTTTTTTGTTCTTGAAATATAAATGACATTATATAATCTCAGGTGTACAACATAATGATTCAATATTTGCATATATTATGAAATGATCACCACAATAAGTCTAGTTCACAACCATCACCATACATAATTACAAAAATGTTTTTCCTGGTGATGAGAACTTTTAAGATCTCCTCTCTTAGTGACTTCCTTTTTCTAAATTGCCTTCTGGACATGAGTCCAACGTAATTACAGGGTGCTTATTGTTGTTGTTTTTAATGTTTTACATGGAAAATTTTTAAGAACACAGAAAAGAAAAAATAATATGATGAACAATCATATAGCCACCACCTAGATTGAATAGTTATTAATATTATTTCATGTTTATTTAATCTCTCTTGTTTTTTCCCTCCTTCCCTCCCTCTCATTCCCTTCTTCCTCTTTCTCTATATTTTGTTTTTATTGTTGCTGACATGGTAACATTTTTCTCTCTTTTGGCTGTAGATATTATTTATGCCTTCAGCTTCGAAAGGACATAGTTGCAGGACATCTGCCTTGTTCCTTTGCAACCTTAGCATTATTAGGTTCTTACACCATCCAGTCTGAGCTGGGAGACTATGACCCAGAACTTCACGGTGCCGATTATGTTAGTGATTTTAAACTGGCCCCAAATCAGACCAAGGAACTTGAAGAGAAGGTCATGGAACTCCATAAGTCATACAGGTAAATGTGTCTCCAGGTTTTTTTCTGTGTTTGTTTTGGCAAGAAGTTTAAACCGTTGGCCTGGTTTTGATTCAGTGTTTGCCTTAGAGGGGATGTGGTGCTGTAGAGTCAGCTCAAGCCCCTCCACTGTTTGACTTTGAGCAAGTCAGTTAACCCCTCCGAACCTTAGTTTTCTCCTCAGAGTAACAGGTGTTGTTGAAGGGTGAAAACTGAATGAGGTAATAGATGTAAAGCACTAAGCATTGTGTCTGGCACAAAGTAGGTGCTCAATAAATGCTGTTGTTGCTTTACTTTTTTTTTTTTTTCAGATTTTTAACTTATTATGCTGTATTAGGTACTTTAAGATCCTTAAAGTAGGGGTTCTTAAGATCTGTGTACATGGATAGACTCCAGAGGACCCATGAAACCCCTGAGGGTATTTTGTAAAGTCTTTATTAAATTCAGTCCTTTTTTCCATGGAAATAATTGGTGATATTGAGAGGTGTCATAACAAAGTGATCAAAAGCAAGGACATATGGTCAGACTGACCTGGGTTGAGATCTTGGCTCTGCTTGGTTCTGGCCTTGTGACCTTGAGTTATTCACTTAATCTCTCTGAGCCTCAAGTTCCTTGTATCTCTGATGGAACTTACTACCTCAGAGGAAATAGGGCAATGGATAGGACTAGAAAAGGTATTATGTGGAGAAACTTTTTTTTAAAAAGATTTTATTATTTGTTATATAGAGAGAACGCAGGCACAAGCAAGGGGAGCAACAGGCAGAGGGAGAAGCAGGCTCCCTGCTGAGCAAGGAGCCCAGCGTGGGACTCAGTCCTAGAACCCGGGATCATTACCTGAGCCAAAGGCAGACACTTAAGCAACTGAGACACCCAGGAGTCCCTGTGGAAAAACTTAATACAGTGTCTTATACATTGTCAAAATTCAATAAATGTTGGCTAATATTAAAGTGGCAGAATAATTTGTGTTTCTTCCTACTATACCTCCCATGGTTAATTGAGGGGCTTGCTAACACTAAATTTTACAGGCTTCCTTAGCTTATTAACATGAATATCTGATGTTGGCCTTGAGTTAGTAGCACCCTCAGTTATGTTAGTCTGCATTAGGAGAATCCAGCTAACCTTTTTTTTTTTTTAATTGTCTTTTGGGAAAATATTGTTATTTTTCACACAAAAAAGTTATGAATATTAAAATATGAACTTATTGTTAGTCTTTAAAGATTTGATAAATATTTTAAAATTTTCTTAGTTTTAATTTCTAATGTAGTAAGTATTGATAGATATAACCCACATAAAGAAAAGATCTTTGGAGGCCTCAGCAATTGTTAAGAGAGTGAAAGGATCCTAAGGTCAAAAAGTTTGAGAACCACTGTAAGATAGAAGCATAGGCTCTGGAATTAGTCTGTTGTACTTTGAATTCAGACTTCATTCCTTATTTTTTTTATTAATTATTTTTATTAACATATAATGTATTTTTTGCTCCAGGGATACAGGTCTGTGAATCGTCAGGTTTACACATTTCACAGCACTCACCATAGCGCATACCCTCCCCAATGTCCATAACCTAATAGGCTCCATTCCTTATTAACTTTTTGATTTTCACTAAGTGAGTTAAGCTCTCTAAGCTTCAGTTTTCTCATCTGAAAAATAAGGGTAATTTTGTGATTATTAAAAATGTGAAGTGCTTCATATAGTGACTAGGACATGGTGAGAGTATTTGCTAGGATAATAATTCTTAACCCCATTTTACAAGTGATGGATGTGAATGGGTTTATAGAGCTATTTTTTGGCAACTTTAAATAGAATTTAAACCCAAATAAGTGAAATGGTCTCAAAAGACAGGTGAATATGGTCCAGTTGAAATTCTATTAGGCATATGGATAGAAATTAAGCAAAATGGATCTCCATGACTAGAAAATGTAGAGCTCTGAGATCTTGGAATTTACTTGCTCCTTTTGGGGAAGATTGGCATCATTTATAAACAGAAAGCCAAATGGAAAATTTAATTATGTCCAACAACATGGCATTTTAACTAATCCAGAGAAACTTCTGCCGAGGCAGAAGCATTTTACTATGCATTGGAAAGTACAAGCAAATACCACCCTATTCTCAGATAAATAGAAGACCGCCTACGTACACCGAACCCTTAGTTAGTGGCCCTTTGCCCAGATAGAGACTTTGAAGTTATAATTAACACTGTAAATTTATACTAGCAAATCAAGCTTTAAAATTAATTGCCCTCCATTTATGGGTAGTAGGAAAGTATGTAAACTTGTCAGTTGTCCCCCACTTAATTATTTGAAATCTCAGTCCTTAATTAGGGGATGTAACAAACATTATTAAAAGGCTGTCACATAACATTGGAACTCACTGAATGGCTCTGTATCCGGACCCCACTTGCTCAAAATAAAAACAGAGAAACTTTGTTTTAACTTCTCTTTTTAATGAGCAAGAGTTAACCAGTGCCAGAGCTCTCTGGTTAGATACTTTTGTAAGCTTTCAAGTAGTAAATTATTAGGTGGTACTAAATAAATTCTTAGTGGCTTAAAGGTATCTAACCTCCTCCCAGCTAGTTTATTATACTTTAAGAATCTTAGAAAATCTAGGCGAAATCATGATCTTTAAAATTTTAAGTTGAAAATAATTTGTGTTATTAAATTTGTAAAATATATGCGTTATATTTACACGTACAGTTCTGTGCATAAGGGGTTATGAGAGATTCTCTCCCCCCAACCATGTGCTTATACAATGAATGTATATGATTTTTATAATCAGAAAAAGCTTCCTGAAACAATTTTGTTTTGCCATTAGGTAGGGTAGAGCAAGGTAGTCATGCATGCAGAGAGGCAGTCTGGCCGGGGATATTGGGTCTAAGCAGGGTGAAGAGAGTATTCATAGGTAGGGGGCCAGCCTGGCATGAGGAGTCAGAGCGCAAACATGTACAGAGGGTAGTCGTGTGTGGGCATATGGTGGTAGTTACCAGAGGGAGAGCAGATTGAGAAGGGCATCCATGTGGGGGTAAGGCCTGCATCGGGGGGAGGCCATCCGCATGGGGTGGTTGTTTCAGGAAGCTTTTTCTGATTATAAAGTCATATATGTTTCCATGAAATGGTTATTAATTACAAAGAGATAAAGAGGAATTTCACAGAAGAGAAGCCTGGCAGACATCAGTAATCAAAACGAGCATCATCCATGAAGGGACAAAGTGAAATTGTGTGCCTACCACCTGGTAGGAGACAGTGAGAACACAGAGCCGCTTCTGTGCTATTCTTCTCGAAGATGCAAAACCTGAATCAACTCATGGAGAAACATCAGACCCAAATTGAGGTGCATTCTATAGAATAACTGGCCTGTCATCCTCAAAAGGTCAAAATTATGAAAGTCAAAGAAAGATTGAGGAACTGCTCCAGGCTGAAAAAGACCAGAGACACGAACTAAATAAAACTCATGATGCTAACTAAACTGGGCCTTTCTACTGTACAGAACATTTTTTTAAACAACCGGCTAAACCTGAGTGAGATCTGAGGATTGGATAGCTATAATGTATTAAAAATTATTCCCTGCTTTTCATGGTGGTATTAAGGTTATATAGGAGACTGTCCTTGTTTGTAGGAATTACACATTGAAATGTTGGGAGCCATGGGTCATCAGGTTAACAGCTTGCTCTCAGGTAGTTGAGGAAAAAATGATTTGCATTGTAGGTAACTTCTAAGTTTAAGCATGTTTTAAACATCAGACAAACTTCAAATATAAGTATTATTTTCAACTGACAAGGAAATTAATAGTTTTAAAGTTAAAGATCTTACTACCTGCCCTCAATACAATCTTATGTATGTATGTATGTATTTAAAATACATAGTTATTTAAGTAATCTCCATCCAACGTGGGGCTTGATCTCATGACCCCAAGATCAAGAGTTGCATGCTCTTCCAACTGAGCCAGTCAGGTGTTCCTGCCCTTAGCTTAATTTTAAAGCATGCTTGGTTAGAGAAGTGTTTAAATACATAGTTTGATGCTTAAATCTGTATTTAAATTTGTGCTGTTAATGTCCTTTGGGGTTGGAGGAGTAACTATAGAAAAGATTTTCTCATGATTGCCACATATAATGCTTTAAAATTTGTCTTCAAGTTCAGGTGATCAAAATTTTTCTCTTTTATGAATTGTGTATAGATGTTCCACTGTACTATCATGAGAAACTTAAAGTTTCAGGGGTGCCTGGGTGGCTCAGTCAGTTGAATGGGTGACCCTTGATTTGGCTCAGATCATGATCTCGGGATCATAGGGTTGATCCCTGAGTCGGTTCTGTGCTCAGTAGTGAGTCTGCTTGGGATTCTCTCTTCTCCCTCTGCCCCCACTGCCCCTGCTCACACATGCTCTCACAAATAAATTTTTATAAAATTTATTTTATAAAAAATTCTATTAAAAAAGAATTATTAAAAAATTTTATAAAAGAAACCTAAAGTTGCAATAATAATAAACATGTATATTTTGAAGAGCAGTTTCACAACCATTATCTCATTCTATCCTACTTAGTCACATTCATTCATTCAGCAAGGATAAAAAAAGTGATTGCCTATCCTAGTCTCTGGAATTAGGTATTATCATGGATCCTACTTTATAGATAGGAGATTGAGGGAGATGCCAGGTCACTACTCTTAGGTGCAGGAGGCATGATTCCAGCATGAGTAACATGATTTGAAGTCCTGACTAAAGCCTGCTGCCTTAAACTTAAGAGTCACAACTTGCTCATGACTGTGTGATCCCTCAGGGCCTTATTTCTTCATGAGCAAAATCAAAGTGTTGGATTCTATAATCTTCGAGCCCCATTCAACCTTCAAAATCCTAAAATTGAAGCCATTGATAATAGTAACAATAACAAAAACTGTAAAATGGTTGGAAGTAACCTTAACTAGAAAAGTATATAACTTTATATGGAGAAAAAAAGAACCTATAAAACTTTCTTGAGATGCTTTAAAAAAAAAAAAAGGATTTTATTTATTTGAAAAAGAGGGAGAGAAAGAAAGAAGGGTCAGAGGCAGAGTGAGAATCCCAAGCTGACTCCAGGCTGAGGGCAAAACCCATCACTGGGCTCAATCCCAGGACCATGGGATCATGACCTGACCTGAAACCAAGAGTTGGTGGTTCAACGGACTGAGCCACCCAGGTGTCCCATTCCTGAGATGTTTTTAGTGACTAGAATACACCGTCTTGCATATGTGTTAATTTTCCCATTCTCCTTTTTTTGCGTGTGTTCAATTTTAGACTACAAAATAGAACTCAGGTGTGATGATTTAGTGCTTGTAGAAAAGAAAGTTTATTTGGGGAGGCTGAGTCATTAACAAATCTGCAGACTGTCTCCTGAGATTTTGGTTGTTGTTCCAAGGAACATTTTGTTCTTTTTAATGAGGGTAAAGACAGATGGGTTTAGAAGAGACTTTCTTCTGTTAAATGAATAGGCCACTGCTGCTTTGTTTAGTTTAAGGCAGTCCTCTGGGAAACAGGCATTTACACCGTTTTTCTTTGGGGGTGTGGCAGCATTATTGTTAGTATGAAGTTAGATTTGATTGGCCTGAATTGTGCAGCATGAGAGTGCTATCTTTTTCTTCAGATCTCAACGTAACAGGTCATGAGCATTTCTCAAAAGTGGGGAAAGTTATAAAGGAGAAGGAAAGACCATCACAGTGAGCATTTAGACAGTGAGACTGATTGTTTTCAAACAAATCTAATTCATTATGTGCCTAGTAATAAAGACGTCTTAATAACAGAGAAAGCAGCCCCATTATCTACATGCTTCTATTAACCAATTTATTTTGTTTAGGTTAGTGGGCAGGACACCATCTGTTACCAGAAGATTTCTTTTCATCAAGCCTGCCCCCATTAAGAGTCTCCAGTTAAGTAACTTCAGCTGCCCTCCTGTTTAATTTCCATAATAATTCAGGAGTATGGAAAGAAAAAGGCAGCTAAGAGGATATTTTAAATTGTACCATGCCCTCAGAGGATTTAATTTGGTCACCTCCTTGGCAAGAAAAATTAGTGGGAGGAGATTGTGTGTGTTAGAGAAAAAGGCTCAGGAGAGGGAGGGGTAGAGCTGATGGTGGTGAGGTGGTAAGGACATTGTTTAGCAGGATATTTTTTAAAACCTTTTTTCTAATAGTTTTTTTGGTGACTTTGCTTTTCTCCAAGATCTCTTTTTATTCAGACATATTTCAGTGATTTAGACACAGGTAGTGATAAGAATTATTTTCCCTAATATTTTACTTTGAGGACTATGAAATGTATCCATATATATATTGGTTATGTGTATGTGTATGTGCTTATATAAAGTGCAATTAATATATAGATGTTATTATTATAAAAGTTGGCATTGTGATGCTGAATTTCTAATTTTTATTCTACCAAAGGTCCATGACTCCAGCTCAAGCTGATCTGGAATTTCTTGAGAATGCCAAAAAGTTATCTATGTATGGTGTTGACCTTCATAAAGCAAAGGTAATGAATGATATCTTTGGCCTTTATTAATATACATGTGTCATACCTGGATCATATAATACTTGTTGCCAACTTTTATCTGGGGTATTATAAAACATTCAGAAGAGATAGTTCTTGTTAGAATTTTAAGTGTATAATTTGAATTGCCCCTTTGCAGTTCCACTGTCAGCATGAAGTTTCACACTGAAGCCCCTATAAGGATCAAAGGTATTTCACCTACAGCAGAAAAAGCGCTATTTTCCTAAAATGCAGATGCATTTGAAAATACAAAGTAGCATCTAGGCATGTTTCACAACTAACATCACCTACATCAGAATTGCTGGAGCATTTATTAAGTATGCAGATTCTGAAGGTCCTCCCAGATTTACTGAATTACTAGAACAAGACACTAGAGCTCCAAGTTGAATGAACATGTCAAATTACTCTCATTCACACCTGAATCTGAGGACCATTTATTGGCCTAAGGTAGTGGTTCTCAAAGTACGGTCTCCTAAGACAGCATTTAGCATCATCCAGGAACTTTTTAGAAATGCCGTCCCTGGGGCGCCTGCGTGGCTCAGTGGGTTAAAGCCTCTGCCTTTGGCTCGGGTAGTGATCCCAGGGTCCTGGGATGGAGCCCCATATCGGGCTCTCTGTTCGGCAGGGAGCCTGCTTCCCCCTCTCTCTCTGCCTGCCTCTCTGCCTGCTTGTGATCTCTGTCTGTCAAATAAATAAATAAAATCTTTAAAAAAAAAAAGAAAGAAAGAAATGACATCCCTCTCCCAGTCTCGCTAATAAAACTAAAAGACAAGTTAAAAAAAAAAAAAGAAGAAGAAGAAAAGAAAAAGGAAAAGAAAAAACTAATGCACATTTCAGGCCCCATCCCAGGCTTAATGAATCAGAAATGCTGCAGGTGGAGCCTAGCAATCTGATTTCACAAGCTCTCCAGGGGATTCTAATGCACATAGGATGAACCACAGTGGTTCATTTGGAAAGTGCTGGGTTGGGGATTGGAAACCTGAGCTTTAATCCTAGTTCTGCCTAGTACAACGTAACAGGATAAACTTAAGGGAAGTTGCTTAACTTATCTCATCTTCACCTACTGAAGAGGCCGGGGGTGGCCACGTGGTATGTGTGAGGTTCATTTAGAGGAACTTAACTAGAATGTATGACGAGGGGACTCAAAACCATGTCCAGTGAGAAAACAAAGGATTAGGGATACTTATCCCATAGAAGAGAAAGTTTAGGGACGACATAAAACCTGTCTTTGTGTATTGGAACGATTTTTACTATGGCTCCAGATATAAAACTAGAGTTAGTAAAATGGGAATTACAGGGAAATGCTATTCAGCATAGTTTGACAAATTGCCTAACAGTCAGAGCTTTTCTAAGATGAAATGAGCCCCTAGCTACCGTAGCAATTATTTCAGGCCTACACCATGAAAGGTCCTATTAGTCCAATCACACACCAGATGTTTGAATGTCCTTTTTTCTAAATTCCTACCAAGCGATTATTCTACCTATCGTAGACTGGAAGGTAGTGAGCATTCAGTCTCCCACCCTGAAGCTGATACCTGAAGATTCTTCCTTCTTTAGATTCTGCTAAATCTAATAAAATTTCATTGCACGTTAGTTGTTTTTCTTAAAATGTTGCTCTGGATTGTTTTGGCTTGGGTGCCTCTGTGAATCTCTGAAGTAGATGGTAGAAAAATCGGAACTGAAATTGTTTGGTTTTGCTTCTCAATTCCTGCTGTAGGCTGATGTTGATGCAAATTATCAGGGATAGATGAAGTCAAGCAGCCTGTTTCTTTCCCAAATGTAAACCAAATTGTTTCTCTAAAACATATAATTAAGGGAGAGATATAGTTGTACCCCCAGGCTTTAAGAACTTAAGAGGGCATCTTAATTCTCAGTTATATAGTCATCGAGTTAGAGCTGTTAATAATTTTTACTTCTCTTATGTTTGTACGTAATACATACAGACACTAACGTGTTTCTCTATACTCAATTTGGGAAAAGGAATAGTCGAGAAACATTTAACTCTGGGTTTTATTTTCCTTACTTGCAGACACAGATGATTAATACTATAATATATTTAATTTTTAAAAATTACTAAGGAGGCATAGAAATGTGGCTTTATCTTGCTGTTCCTCCTAGACTTTGGTATAATATTTATAATTTAATATACTTAATGTCAATAATTATGAGAGTCTGAGATTCATATTGAGTTTATACAGGAATGGTGTCAACTCCTTATGATTTTTGGATGAACATATTATCATTAAAAAATTATGATTGTGCATGCATATTGGGTAGTAGATGTAGTCCTCAGCCCTAGCCTCCAGAAGTCATGTGGTCTATGGACTTAAACCTACAGGTATAGGATGTAGATAGCTACTATAGTTACCATAGTAATTATTTACTGACTGTATGATAGTGACAGGTTTGAGTACTTTAGAACTGGGAGACCAAAATGAGAACATGAATGTTTACCCTAGAATTTTCATATGCAGACAAGCATGGTAAAAGCAGATGAGTGTCTCTTGTTGGATTATTTTTTTAAAGGTTTTATTTACTTATTTGAGAGAGCAAGTGAGAGCATGAGGGGAAGATGTCAGAGGGAGAAGCAGACTGCCCGCTGAGCAGGGAGCCCGAAGTGAGACTCGATTCTGGGACTCTAGGATCATGACCCAAGCCGAAGGCAGTTGCTTAACCAACTGGGCCACCCAGATGCCCCCTTCTTGTTGGATTATTAAGGAACACCTTTTTGGTGGATACATAGGCTCAGTTTTATGGGAAAAGTGTTGTAAAGTTACATGAGGTGAAAGCCCAATGACATTTCATGGTGGCTCTAAGGGGTGGCGGTGGCGGCTGCATTGCTCCTTCTAGGATTTAGTTCCTTTAGTGGGTAAGATATGTACGTCCATGTTTCTTGGACAAGAGAAGAGCAGATGTTCACTCACAGTGGTATGGTAACATTTTTACATGGACTCAGTACTCCCATGGATTATGATTATAAGGTTAAGCTTTACTTTTCCATATATGCTTTGTAAGTGTTTTTGGTTATCGATATCTTCAGATTATCAAATAATAGTCAAACCGTGTGTTGAGCACTATGCTGAAGACTGAACTGCTGACACTTTTCTTTTTCAGGACTTGGAAGGAGTGGATATCATCCTAGGTGTCTGCTCTAGTGGCCTTCTGGTTTATAAAGATAAGCTGAGAATTAACCGCTTCCCTTGGCCCAAAGTGCTGAAGATTTCTTACAAACGTAGCAGCTTTTTCATCAAGATCCGTCCTGGAGAGGTACAGCATTTATGCTTCTTTCCTCCTGAATCAAGCATGGACCGTGTTGGAAACATCTCTTCATTCTTGTTTTTCTTATTATGTCATCTAAGATGTCTCTCTGTAGCTAACTGTTCAGGAGCTGGTCATTCTGTTCTCTAAATTAATCAGCCCCATAATGCTTCTTGTCTTCCTTACTACTGTTCTTCTGGACATTTCTCTGTATATAAGTAAATATACCATGGCCAGAAGTGAATCTTGGATTGATAAACTTGTTCCTTGTTTACTACAGGTAAAATCTTGATGGAAAAAAATATATAAATACTTATAAATTAAGTAGCAGGAGATTTTTAAGTTGTGCGGTTAAGATACTCATATTTTGTACCACCAACACCTTACCTCATGTAATTAAGATTTATTTGTATGTGTAGCTTCTAGTGGTTACTAAGAATGTATTCTAGGTCAAGTTCTAGATTTTTAATAGAGTTGGATATTCACCTCATCCAGGCCATTCAGTTATTAGTTGGTGTTCAAGATTTAGGACTTACTTTTACAGTAAGGAATCATCATGGCGCAGCAGAAAATTATTTAAGTAGGAATTTTAAAAAGTTCTAACTCCTACTCTGTCTCTGCCACTACTAAGCAAAATATTCAGGACAGATCTAGGGCTCAGCTTCCTTATCATTTGAGTGGGATAATCCCTTCTCTATCATAGTTGATCTGAAGATCAAATGAGGTGACAGCTATAAAAGAGAAAGAATGCACTAATGTAATGAGGCTTTTTTTGTGTCTGTATCACCATCTACTGGTGGAAAATGGCTTGTTATTTTAACTTGGAAATACTGGATGTGCAGCCTTAAAAATCTTGGATAAGCTCAATGAGGCATTTATTTAATGTCCTCATTATTTACCTGTGCCTGGCAAAGAGGAGTCAATGTCTTCCCTCAAAAGTTTCAAATCTAAGAGGCATTTGGTCACCAAATATTTATTGATTGAGGGCTTTCTTTGTGCCAGGCACTATTCTAGGGTCTAAGAGTATAATAATGAACAAAATAGTTCATCCCTAACCAATCTTAATATTTTAATGTGGGAAGGCAGAAAATTTACACACACACATACACACAGACAAATAAATACGATAAAAGGAAGTCCTTGGTTTTTTTGAATGTCAACTGTATTATAGGTACTAAAACACAGAATTCTTATTGAAGAAAGCAATTAGGAACAACAATAGGATATTGAGATGTGGAATGTTATGTCTACACTATATAGTAGTAGTATGGTATAGTAGAAACCATGAAATCATGAAAATCTGGGTCTGCCACTTGATAGCTAAGAGACTGGGCAAATAACTTCTCTGATCTTACTTTCTTTGTGTGTAAAATGTGGATGATACTATCTAATCATAGTATTATTGGTAATAATAGGCACTAAATATAAATATTTAAATGTCAATTTCTTTCCTTATAAAGTATGCTTAAGTTAGAAACAAAGAGGCAAAACACTAACAGGACAGTGTTTCTCATATCCTTGGCAGGTTATGATTTGCTTTAGTCAAAGAGATCTCCAGGTAAATTAGTGGTCAGTCAAAGGAAAAAAAAGAGAAAACATTTAATAATTCAGGGATCTGGTTTGAGCCAAAATCTTTAGCTCCTATTACAAAAAACAGTTGCATAATAATATTGATTGATTGGAGGAATCATGTTATCCCATTCCCTGATCATATTGTAGTCAAATATCCCAAATGTAGACAATGACCAAGGAAGACTAATGTCTGGACAGTCAAAAGGTCACTTAATTATGTCTCAGAAAAATGTATAGCGTATGTGTGTGTGTGGTGTGTGTCTGTAGGGGGAGTGGGTTCAGATGCATATAAATATGCAAATAAGATGCATAAATAATATAAGATGAATTTCCTGGCTTCTCTGTTGTGGAAAAAGCCACCTTAAGTGAGTAGATCTCTTTTGGTAAGTAGGAAAAAATTTCAAATGAAAATTTTCAATTTCAGTTGAAGGATTTCAGTTTCTTAGACTAGCGGTAATATTCTTTTCATTTATAAGTCCTCTTCTGTTACAGCATATTTCTCTGGTACTGGATCACTTTAGTCAAATAATCATGTTTCATGTTTATTCACATTTTTATAGCAAGAACAGTATGAGAGTACCATTGGATTCAAACTTCCCAGTTACCGAGCAGCTAAGAAATTATGGAAAGTCTGCGTAGAACATCACACGTTTTTCAGGTATTCTTCTCACTTAAGTATTTTTCAGGGATAAATTATTTATGCATGTTTCTATTTTAAACCTGCTATTGAAATTTCCTTCTTTGTATGGCTGGCACTCTTTTGTTTAGCTCAGGTGAGATCATTTTAAGCAACATAAAATAAATCCAGTTCTCCTCCCTCAGGTTGAAAAATATGCCCTACCATTCCCAGAGCGCCTTTCTGTGTGTGGTAGAAGGAGAACAGAAGGGAGGAAAAGGAATCTGTGTTTACTAGGGGCTCTGTGATCATCCTAACTGGAGCTAAGATCAGTCTGTGAGGGGGAAGTACCCTGACTTACCTCCACATGGAATTTCTTGAAGCAGTACTTAACTACTTTCTGTAGGGCTGTTATATTAGAAGGTGAAAGGTAGGAAGCTGATCATTATCTTGGCTCTAATCAACCCGAGAAAAGAGGCACAGAGAACTGTCTTTGAAGCCCAATTGTATCAGATAATTAGAAAATAGGAGAAAGTTTCATCTGCTCTGCTCTGCTTTTCTTTTTTTTTTTTTAAGATTTTATTTATTTATTTGACAGAGAGAGAGACAGCGAGAGAGGGAACACAAGCAAGGCGAGTGGGAGAGGGAGAAGCAGGCCCCCTGCTGAGCAGAGAGCCCAATGTGGGGCTCTATCCTAGGACCCTGGCATCATGACCTGAGCTGAAGGCAGATGCTTAATGACTGAGCCACCCAGGGCCCTCTGTGCTCTGCTTTTCAAGAGGCCACATCATTTACCCCTTTATTCATCTATCAAACATTTTCTTTGTGCTTATCCTTTGTGTAGGTGCTGTAGTAGGCAGTGAGAGTATACCACAAGATAGTTCCAGTCCCTGTCCTGAGGAAACAGTTAATCTCGAAGAGAAGACAGACTGTAGACAAGTAACCACCTGCACTGAAAGGAGAGCCAGCTAGTTACTGTCAGCTTACCTTGTAAAGAAAAAATTCTTTATTATTGTAAATTGCATACATGGTCATAGTAAAGAAAGTGTTATAATGAACTACCCTTGTACCCACACCCAGCCTCAATATTATCATCCCAAGGCCAATCTTGTTTCATCTATATCCTTACCCATTCCTCCCACTCCTTCCCAGAGTATTTGGAAGCAAATCCCGGATCTCATGTCATGTCATTTGTAAATAAACTTGGCTCTTTATGAATGGATCTCAAGAGAGATGACTACAATATCTTTTACTTCTATTTGTGTTCTCGTATCATACTTAGCACTATAGCACAGTAGACAGGAAGAAGTGTCAGGGAAAAGAACATTTAAATTCTCATTTCAGAATAAATATGAAGGTACACTTCATAACCAATTAAGGAATCTTAATTATTGGCATTGAGGTATTTCTTTATGTTTTTATCATCCTTTTCTTTAAAAATCAAACCAAAAAAATGGAGTTTTTAGAAAGGGTAAGGGTGGAGGGTACTTGGATGGCTCAGTTGGTTGAGCATCCAACTGCTGGTTTTGGCTCAGGTCATGATCTCATGGGTCATGAGATCGAGTCCCATGGCAGGTTCCACACTCAGCAAGGAGTCTGCTTGAGATTCTCTTCCTTTGCCCCTCCTCCCACTTATGTGTGCTTGCATTCTCTCTCTCTCTCTCTCTCTCTCAGTTGTAGGATAGCATGTTTAAATATGTTTTATGACAATAAGAGAATATATTAATATGTGATTCTTCATCACACAAAAGAAAATAAATATTTGCTGAATTAAAATAAACTATCCCAAAAGGAAAAAGTACTCTCTTTTTGGTAGTATTTGATGTAGCAATTTATGTATTTATTCAGCAAACACTTATTGAATGGCAAATTCATGGCAGGCACTATGCCAGGAGTGAAAACACAAAGGTAAATAAATCATAGTCTTTATCCTTTACCCGTAGACAGCCCACAGCTTCGTAGTAGAGACTAGCACATAGATTGTTTTAGGTCAGTGCAGTAAATGACTTGGTGAAAGAATTAGAGGATATAGCACAGAAAGAGGATGGGGTTCCTAAGCAATACATACACCAAATAGCCTATTAAATAGCTTAACAGGCACTAATTGAGTTTGGAGTGCATTTGATAAAATTATTTTAATAGAGTGGAAAAAGTGCTCTGGGCTTGGACCCTGTTATTGCCCAATCTTTTGCCAGCAATGTGAACTTAAAGCAGTAACTTCTTTCTGGAAGTTCAGTTTCTTATATCTGTAAAATGATGAAAATATTACATGGATGTAATGAAAATATTACAGTGTAATAAAAGCATTTTGAAAACCATAAGGCCCTTCCTATAGGGATATATGATGATATTATTAATATAGGCCACAGTTAAATTATACATGTTGCTTTGAGAAATGACATAGAATTAAAAGAATGATTGCTTGTTTGGAACTCTGTCTTAGTAACTGTAAGGAAACAATGAGATTAATTCATGATTTTTGTCTTTATTCTCCCAGTCTCATTAGAGTGAGGTAATACATATAATTATGTTTTTCCCCCCTAGATTGACATCTACAGACACCCTTCCTAAAAGCAAATTTCTTGCACTGGGATCCAAATTTCGATACAGCGGCCGGACTCAGGCGCAGACCAGGCAAGCTAGTGCCCTGATTGACAGGCCTGCCCCACACTTCGAGCGTACAGCAAGCAAACGGGCATCCCGGAGCCTTGATGGGGGTTTGTATTGAATATTAATGATTACTTGTGATCCTAACTCACTAGGGAAAGATAAAAGAAGTTCAGTTGTTTATTAAAGAATCTCAGTGGTAAATGAAATGGATTTTACTAATTGTCTGTTTCAGTGGAGTCATCTTAAGAAAAGTAGAACTGAGATTCTGAGAGAGTAGTAACTAGATCAAGGTTCTGCTGGTAGGTAGTAGTAGATGAACAGCGCTAGAATCAGAATTCAAATGCAGAATCTTTGCCATAGCGTGAAAACCTAATGTTGTATACCGAACTAAAACCTGCTGTTTAATGTTTTTAAAGAGTTGTTTTTTCAAGTAGGAAAGAGGAAAAGGGTCTGGCTCTCGAGAACATTCATTCAAAAAGTTTAGATTATTTGCCCTATGGCCATTAGAGACAGAAAAAACAGTGATGTTACTGGAGTCTCTAAATTTTGTTTAAATAAAATAGGGAGGAAATAGATAATTTTCATGATTGTGTATACCAACCTAAGATCTTTCTGAATTTTCCTAATCTCAAGGATTTGAGAGTATTCCTAAAATGAAGTAATAAGCCATACTTAGTTCTTTATGCCATTTAAAAAAAAAAAAGATGGTTAATAAATAAAATTTCAAAAGGCAGTAACCAAAATAGAGCATTGTTGCTTATATTTATTAGGGAGTCATCAGGGCCAAGCTCTATGCTATCTACTGTAAAAGGAAACTGCATTTTACAGAAGTTAAAGGTTTGGCTTCTACCCTCAGCTAGACCTGGTTCCAAGCTCAACCCCTGTATTTATGATCTGTCTTCTTGGGCAAGTTACTTAATCTCTGTGCCTTGGTTTTCTCATTTATAAGATGGGCATGGTGATAATATAATAATACCTCAAAGAGTTTTTGTGAGGAATAAATCAGATGATGTCTATATAGTGCTTTGCACAATGGCTGAAAGTTAATAAGTGACCCCAAAATAGTAGCTATCATTAAGATACTGTTAATATTCTGGCCACAGCATTATTATTTTGTTTTATATCATCCAGAATTATGCTGCCATATTTTGGTTTGTTGCATTATGGGAGCGTGTATGAGAGACACTTCCTTCAGTTTAAGAGGAATCGGGAATGAGTCAGCCACACTTGGAAAGAAGATTCCCCAAGGAGTAGAACTTTTGTGTTTCCATATCGCAAGTCATGCTTCTGTCTTTCTGATGTTTCTCTACTGTCCTGAGTTTAAAGGGGCTGCTTAAAGAGGAAGAGGATAAGGCAGATTACAGGCTTTGTCTTATTCAATCATCATGAAGACCTTCGGAATATGGGCTCAAAGATTAAATAAGTTTTTTTAAGATATGTTAGCTGGGGGCACTGGGTGGCTCAGTGGGTTAAGCCTCTGCCTTCAGCTCAGGTCCTGATCTCAGGGTCCTGGGATCAAGCCCCGTGTCAGGCTCTCTGTTCAGCAGGGAGCCTGCTTCCCCCTCCCCCTCTGACTGTCTGCCTACTTGTGATATCTCTCTCTCTGTCAAATAAGTAAATTAAATCTTTAAAAAAAAAAAGATATGACAGCTGATGAGTGGATTGGAGTACAGTTTGGGTTAACTCCAAAACCCATGTTCTTTCAGATACCTACTCACGTATTCCTTTGTTCAACAACTTACTTTACATTTCCTACATATCAAGTATTGTTCTAGTCACTGGAGAGACAGCTGTGAACATACAAACCTAGTCTCTGCCCTCGCAGAGCTTACATTTTATGAGTAAACATACAAAACAAAATAGTTTCAGATAGCGATACATACTATGAAAAAGAAACCAGGGTGACAGATAAAGAATATCTGGGTATGGGGGAGACTGGGGAACTGTTTGAGACTGAGTGATCTATATCTAAATTTAGAAGGTCCCCCGGAGGAGCTTCTTGAACTGAGACCTGAATTATGAGAAGGAGTCAGCCATCCCAACATCTGGGGACGAATATTCTCAAGGGGGGAGTAGCAAGTTCAATGACGTGGAGGTAGGAATGAGGTTGGCATGGGTCTAGATCATTGCCGTCCCAGAGAACTTTGTGTTCTGATGGAAATCTGTTTGGTGATGTCCACTTTGGTAGCCTGTGGCCAGATGTGGCCAATTATGAACATGAAATGTGGCTATGTAACTAAGGAACTGAATTTTAATTGTTTTAAGTTTAAATAGCCATGTGTAGCTAGTAGCTCCCATGTTGGGTAGCAAAGGTCTGGCTCCTAGTGAGTAAGAGGAAAGGGGTCAAATAATTAAATAAATAAAATAAGTGAGGTCAGAGGAAGTGGGAGAGGCCAGATTGTGTAAGGCCTTGCAGGCCATCCAAAGAGTTTAGATTTTATTTTGGTTGCAGTGGAAAGTGGTTAGAGGGAGTGATATGATCTGATTTCCATTTTTAAAAAGACCACTCTGATTGCCAGGTGAATGCTTCCCTGAAGGGGAGTAAAGGAGAAGCATGGTGAAGTCGGTTGCAGGATCTGGGTGAGAGGTGATAACAGCTAGGACTTGAGTATTGGCAATGAAGACAGGGAAAAGTGGTCAGAAATACATTTTGGAGGTAGGCCTGACGGAATTACTGATGAATTAAGTGGTGGAGATGGTAAGGAAAAGAAAATCAAGGTTTATTCCTAGGATTGATTGTTTAATATGATGGGAAAGTCTGAGAGAGAAGCACAGTTGGGTGGAAGATCAAGACTTCTGTCTTGGACAAGGTAGATTCTAGATGTGGCCACTTAATCTTCATGTCTGCCATATTTATATAACACCATCAGGCATCTCCTTCCTTGTCCAGTAAAGTCGCCTACTTTTAGTTTACCTTGGGTTTGGGGAGCTATTATTTTATTGTTTTTATCCACAATTTTCAGTGAGAAACTGAGTTTGGAGAATTTAAATTACTTCTTCAATATGTCACAGACAGTAAGTTGCACAGCTAGACCTGGGTTTGTATGATACCATGTATCCCATGACTTTTTCCATTAATTAGAAATTCTTCATTGCTTAGATACTATGCCTGATGTATCTTTTCTTTCCAATAGCAAAAATAACCAGAGATTGAAGTGTTTATGAGCTTTGGTATCTTGAACAAATTAGAAAGCTTTACTTGTCGAGAGATTTATATTACTTTTAAGAAATTATATCCCAACTGTCTCTATTTTTCTAGCTTGTAGAAATGTCACAATCCAAGATATTAAAAAATCTTGATGTCTCTATTGACTAATATTAACTAGTTCTTATTAAATTATACTCTATGCTGAGGTGGGGGGGAGTGGATCTCCAAAAAAATTGTCTTGAAAATGCTATGGTCATGGTTGAGATTCTAAAACTAAAGCATGTAAGAGAATTCTAAGGGAAGATAGTCAGCTTTGATGGCTTTACCATTAGTATCAGAGTTCTGGGACTTCAAAAAAATTGTTGGAAATCATTTTTTCCAGCCACCTAATTTTATAGAAATGAAACCTAGAGCCTAAAAAATTTGTCCAAAGTTAACATAGTCTGCCAATACAAACTTGGAATCCTGTATGTTTTCTGGTTCCTAGATCAGTCCCTTTTTACCTTCATAAATTCCAGGATGGCTTCTTTCTTCCCTTTTCCTTTGAAAAACTTCTGAGAATATTTTTTTAAGATGCATAATCTTTACTGGTCTTGATAATTGCCATAATTCTTGCTACATTATGAGTGTTAATAAATAAATGTTGAAAATAAGATTATGTTTTTCCTGTCGGCTGAATGTGAGCTGGATTTTATGTTCCACTTTCTATTGGATGTTTTAAGTGCATTAGAATATCCTATTATAGCTGTTGTCCCTCTGTTTAATTTTTTCTACCTGGAAGAAAAGCACCTTTTTTTTGCTGATGTTTAGTTTTTCAAACCTTTATTCAAATCTGATGACTAGTGAAGTTGAGTACCTTTTCATCGTTTGTAGGTCATTTGCATATCATCGTTTCTGAAGTGCCTGTTCCAAACTTTTGCTCATATTTTTATTGTGTTGTCTGTCTTACTAGTTTGTAGGAGTTCTTTTTTTTTAAAAAAAATGTTTATTTTAAATTCAGTTAATTAGCATATAATGTATTATTGGTTTCAGAGGTACAGGTCTGTGATTCATCAGTCTTCTATAATACACAGTGCTATAGAGTTCCTTATACTTGTCTCACTCCCAGTCTCAGGGAGAAACCATCAATATTTCGTAACTAAGTGTGATATTTATTCTAGGTTTTGTTAGCTACTCTTTATCAATTAAGGAAGTTTTCTTTTATTCTTAATTTCCTAAGTTTTTAGCATAAATGAATGGTGACTTTTTTATCAAATGCTTTTTAATTCATGATTGATATGTAGTTGACCTTAGAACAATATGGTTTTGAATTGCGTGGGTACACTTACAGGCAGATTATTTTTGTTAAATACAACATAATGTTTTCAGAGTATTTTCTCTTCCTCATGATTATCTTAATAACATTTTATTTTCTATAGTTTATTGTAAGAATATAGTATGTAATATATGTAACATACAAAATATGTGTTAATCCATGGTTTGTATTTTCAGTTAGGCTTCCAGCCAACAATAGGCTATTAGGAGTTAAATTTTGGGGGAGTCAGTTATACACAGATTTTCAATTGTGCGAGGGAGTTGGTACCCCTCACCCCATTGTTGTTCAAGGGTCAGCTGTAATAATATGATTTTTCCTCCCTTTTTATATTATGTGGTAGAATAGATGATTGACCCTCAGTCCTTAAACCAACTTTGCATTTTTGGAGTAAATACAATTTGATTATAATGTTTTTCTTACATAATATTTTAGAATTTTTCACAACTATTTTTTTTTCAACTATTTTCATAAGAGAGATAGGCCTGTCGTTTTCCTCCCTACCTCCCTCCCTCCCTTCCTCCATTTCTTTCTTTCTTTTCTCTCATTTTCCTTTCTTATAATATTGTCAGGTTTTAGTATGAAGTGTACTCTGGCCTCATAAATTGGGAAAGATTCCTTCTTTTTCTGTTCTCTGGAGAAGCTTG